CTGAATTTGCCGAATTAAAGTTGGAAGCTAGAACGATGATCAGGTAAAGAAAATTTTATATGATGATGTTCAATTGTTATTGTGCAACTTGTTTTTCTATTTGGAATTGGCAGTGCAAGCAAGTTACTTCAAGGACAAGCAACGGTTCAAGTTTGGGGTCGTGATGACACTCTATCATTGCATATTTTTGATTGAAAAAATGGATCAAAACAAGTTAAAGAAGATAAAAAATGAATAAAAAAGGCCAAAGAAATATGCAAAAATGACTAAGTATGAAGAAATAAGGACTTAGTGAAAGTTAGGTGAAAAAAGGAGCAAAAATGTGTAGCTACTGAAATAATCACGTGCAACATTGCAAGCGTGATAGAAAAGCAAAGTCAGTATCACGTGTGCGACAAGTCATTTTCTGAGCCTATTCTGACGCGTTTTGGACTGATTTGACTGGTATAAAAGGGAAATTTTGGCATCTTTTCAAGGGTTCTGCAATTTTACACTGCAAGTGATGATTTACAACACCAGAAGGCATATTTAGAGCGCATTTGAAGCCATTGGAGGCCAGTTCTTCAAGGGATCTCTTATGTAAACATCTTATTTGTATTTGGTATTGTAATTTGCATTATGAGTAGCTAATTCTCTCTAGGTTGGGTTTTGTTTAATGAACCTATTTTAATACTGTTGGAACATATGTTTGATTTGTTATTGCATGAACAATTTGAGTTACAATTCTATTTAATTATACCTTGTTCTTAATGCTTATTATGTGAGATACTCTTTTAATTTGATTTTGGGCGCATGGGGAATACTGACCATTAGCCTCTACGTTGGACCTAGAGAAACTGTTGTGCTTATGCCGATTGAATAAGGATATGAGACCTCACGTAGTGGCTTAATTAGAAATTAATTTGCTATTGCATTACCTAATCTTGCTTACGTTGGTGGACTAGGGATAGAAAACTCTGAGTATACATTAGTGAGTTATACACCAAGGGATAGTGTATAGAGGTTTTGTTAATTCACCGTGGAATTATAGAAATGATATCATTTATGCAATACATCAAACATCAATAGTAGAGAAATAAGAGATTATATACATAACCTAACCGCTTTCCGATTATTGACAGAACATTATTTTCTTGTTCACATTAACACTCGAACCCCGTCCCCCCTCCATTTTAGTATTTTCTAAACATTACACAATTATTGTCTTGTTAAATAGCAGTCCCTATGAATTCGATCTTTTTATTACCTTGCCATTAATAGTACACTTGCCGGGAAGTCATTAGGGACCACCAAAAAAAAGAAAATTAGAAAGAGCAAAGACACTGAAACCTCCCTTGGCGAAAAAGTATAGGTTCATATTACCTTCTTAGTTTCATGTAACTACTTTGATTTTTTTTATACCATTTTCATCATATTGACATTCGTCGAACACGCCAGTCTCCATAAAAAAGAAGAGGAGTTTGATATTGGTAGCAATGTAAGCTTGCAATTGTCTCAATCTATCCCTCCAAAACATCATACTGGTGCAAGCAACAGGGCTGCAGCCGCAGATTTTGCAAACCAAGGGAAAGAAAAGCTACAGTTCAGTGTTCTAGTTTTCGACAAAGTAGAAGAAGGAAAAAGACAAGAAATCAACTTCTGAGGGTTATCCAAAAAAGAAATCCTCTGGTCTCCCTCGTTGATATTGAGATGTGTTGTTTGGTGGAACCATTGATGTGTCCATATAATTGCGATGAGTATTGATGTTATGTTTTAGGTTCAAGAGGAACCAAAGACGAAAATTGAAGTTGGAGGTGGAAACAAGTATTACATATCTTTGTGTAACATTCATGAATCATGTATGTCGAAGATAGGTAGGACTTCGATCCATTGACGAGTAGGACTTCAGTCCAGTGACGAGTTGGATGTTTCAGTAACACACCTCTGAATATCTGAATTATTGGTACCACATGCATTATAGTAGAGAAGATAAATACATTACATACATAATTACATTTGTTGATTGATTTATGTTGTTGTTGGATTGTGTGACTAATTAATTATGCTAATTTTACTATCATTGTTATTTTATGCACCGTTAACATACATTAATGTATTCTCACCCCTTTTTGTTTTCTATGTTGTCCTATATGACTGTTGCGCAGATACTCGGGTAGAGACCAATGAGCATTAGTTGTTGCTTATTTTGGAGGATGACATGGTCATCCTTCTTCATTGTTTATCATTCTGCGCTGTTTAGTTTTTTCGTGTGTCGCTCTGATAATGTAACACTGGGTTGGGAATACCTTATTATATTTTTCTACGAGTTATTGAATTAACTATTTTATATTTAAATGAAGTGATTTCCTATTCATGAGACAATTGAAGTTGTATTGAAGGTTATTTTTCACTACTATTATGATTTGAGAATGTTATGTGTTCGGAGTTTAGGGTGTTACACCCAACACTAATAGATACCCCATATACCAAAGGAAAAGATGTCAAAAATCATGAAGGAGAAAGAGTTGAATATCCTTTTAAACAAACAAATAAAAAATCTTTTGCAAACTTAAAACTTCCTCTAGAAATGGTGTAGGGACGTTATCGTGCATACAAAAAACACTAGAAGCACAAGGCTCAAGAATGTGGTTTGCAATACCTAACTCTTGATAAGGAGTGAGGAACTTCGTGATTAGCTAAATTGGAATAGGAACTAAGCCTGAGTATGACGTGTGATGCCCAATAAATGGATATGAAGGAGAGTGAGCCAAGCTGTAAGAATTAGACCAGACAACTACCTTCAACCCATCATAATATGATATAGAGGACACAATATTAAAGCTAAGCCTTTAAGGAAGGGGAGAACATTTTTCTTTTTGAATAGACAAATCAGATCTACCTTCCTATTTAAAGCCGCTTCGTTGGAAGAACTTCGAGAGTCTATATCTAAGCATATCTAAGGGGTACAAACAACTTGATCATGCAGGTGTGGAGCCCAAAAAATCATTTAAATTATAAAGTGACCTTCTAAACTCTTTAGGGGTAGAATGATCCAAATCAAAAAAGGAATATAGGACTTGATTGGTATTCACACCTCATCTAGAACCACTAGTGACATTTGAAAGTTTGGAGTTTAAAGAGGCCCACGATCTCAATCTACAATTCCTTAGCCCACACGGCTCACCAAAATTCTCCTATTTTGACTGCATGAGAAAGTTATCAACACACACACACACACAAAGAGATAAATAGATAGATAGATAGATAGATAGATTGATAGATAGATAAATAGATAGATAGATAGATAGAGAGAGAGAGAGAGAGAGAGAGAAAGCTTTTAATATTTAATGGGTTAAGATAGGTATCATCTAGTCACATAAAAATGGGAGAAAATGGTTAGCTCAATTGCACACATACCCCTGTTGCCTCTTTTTCTCTGCCTCATCAATGTTGACTTGTAAAAAAACTAAAAATAATTATTTTCTTCATTCCTTAATATAATCGATGGAGCAGAGTGAAAGTGACCACTCTCAATAGCTTCTAACCTTTTATACTATAGGTTCTGATAAACATAAAAACACTTTTCAAGCTCACCACTTACATCATGACACACAACTACATCCTTCCAACCACAACCAAAAGGAAAAATATCACAACCTTCTAAGTCAACCTTATATCAAACTTCATATTCTTCTCCCTCAAGCATATCATCCTTAAACTTATCCACTCTCTTGTCTTCACCATTAGAATAAAATTCTGAAGCAGATGAACCAATATCACCTGCCCCTAGGTCCACACTTATTCTTTTAAGAGACAAGTGAAGGTTTTAATCTCAAACCCTCAAGCATATCATCCTTAAACTCATTATCTCTCTTGTCTTTGTCATTAGAATAAAATTATGAAGTAGCTGAGCCAATATCACTTGCTCCTAAGTCCACACTTATTATTCTTTTTGTGAAACAAGTCAAAGTTTTAATCTCGCACCTTCAACAATGTTCACCCCTTGCTACCCGTTTTTTTACAGACTTTTATAAAACTGTAATAAACAGGACAAACATATATATATATATATATATATATATATATATATATATATATATATATATATATAAAATTAAAAAAATCTGATTTATATACATAGATCTAATTGCATTTCATATAATGTAAATAAGATGTTTTCTAAAATAACATAATAAAAGGAAATTAAATTACGATATGATTTTAAGTAAAAACGTTTAATAAGTTGTGTTTGACAGCACTATATAAATCCTTTTTCTAATCACACCGCCCTTCATAGACACAGGAGGACGCGAGTTTGTCACAACTCACAACAAAATAATATAAGAGAGAAAATCCAAAAGGGAAACTTTTGGAAAGAAAGTAAAGTCGAGGGGTGAAAATAAAAATGGGGATATAGTAACATTCACTTCACTCTCAGCAAAAAGCGTGTGATCATTCTCGTTTCATCACAGAGAGGTTTCTCAAACCCCTCTCAACAGTCCAAGGTTAGTCTTTCCCCAAAACCCTAATCTCCCACTTTCACTCTTCCGTTTTTCGGATCACACCTTAATCTCCCTGTTTAATTTTCATCGATTCTTGCTAAATCTCTTACTCGTCGATTAAAATGTTTAGTGCGCGTTAATTATTTGTTTAATCGATGTGCGTGTTGATTGATTAGCGTTTTTGCTTACATTATTCGGTTTAATTGCTCTGTGGAAAGAAAAATTAGATCATCAATTTAGGTAAAATGAAAATATAATTTCAAATTTTTCTGTTGGTTTCGTTTGTATCAAATAGTTCAGGATTCAAAAAGGTGTTCAATTTGTTGAAATAAAACTATGATTTCAATTTTTATATATTTGACAAGCTTTATTTTCTATATGCAGGTTGCACGATTTTAACTGTTTAGGGTTTTACGTTCCAAAAGAAAAATTAAAAACTGTGCATCCTTGGTTGCGAAGTTATCTGTGCTTGGTTTTTTTACCTTACATTGCCTGAATTGGATTTAAAGATAATTGTAGATGGAATCCCTTTGGAGACTTGTGTATTTGCTAGAGCCTGCTCCGGTTACGCTTATCACAACCGCTGTAGCTGTGACATTTGGAGCTGCTTTTCGAGCTCTAAATTATGGGAAAGAAATGGAGCGGAATCGGGTTATGTCGGAAGCGTCCATTACATTGGATAGGTCTCAAGCTTTGATGATCCCGGTTATGAGTTCTTGCAGCTTGCTTCTAATGTTCTACTTGTTCACATCAGTCTCGCAGTTTCTCACGATATTCACTTCCATTGCTGCTGCGACGTCCCTTTTCTTCTGCCTTTCTCCTTATGCTGTGTATCTGAAGTCGCAGTTTGGTTTGGCTGATCCTTTTCTTTCACGTTGTTGCTCTAAATCTTATACACGAAGCCAAGGATTGCTATTGTTTACATGCACTTTTACTGTGGTTGCTTGGCTTGTTTCTGGTCATTGGATACTGAACAATTTGTTAGGCATATCTATATGCATTACATTTGTAAGCCATGTGCGTCTTCCAAACATCAAGATTTGTGCAATGCTCCTCTTTTGTCTATTTGTGTATGACATTTTCTGGGTTTTCTACTCTGAAAGATTTTTTGGGGCAAATGTTATGGTATCTGTGGCAACGCAGCAAGCATCAAATCCTATGCACACAGTTGCTAATAGTTTAAGTCTTCCTGGGTTGCAATTAATAACAAAGAAATTGGAGTTACCGGTAAAGATTGTCTTTCCAAGAAATTTGTTGGGCGGTGTTATTCCAGGGAAGAGTGCATCAGACTTCATGATGCTTGGTTTAGGGGACATGGTATCACATTCTTACCCTTTGAGATTTATTACTATATTAGTATTATTATATCTGTCTATGTCTTAACTATTTCTAAAACTTCGATTGTACTTTTATTACTTTTAATCCATGAAGTAGTAGTATGCTGCATTGCATTTACTGATTTCTTCCTTGTTTTCTTGCTCAACAATGTTTTGTTATGTACCACGCTGGTTGTGTAGATTGTCACTTATTTTTATTTTTTTTAGTATCTTCATGGGAAATATTCTGCCATATATCATGCAAGAGTCGTGTTAAAAGAATATGAAAAAATAAGAGATTGTCATCGTTGTTCACTATACTGAAGTCTTTACTGTAACTTCCTCTTTCTCCTATTTTCCAAATTAGTATGCATCCAATAGGTTGAACAGGGCATATTCTGCCAAATTGGTTTGATTCGAGTGAAATTTCTGCTTTGAGTTGTGCAATAGTTAAATAGGGCATATTGTGATCAAAGTGTTCTGTGTACTGAAGTGTGTCAGATGTGTTTGCATGACTGTTGCTTATCTTTTGTAGGCTATCCCGGGTATGCTCTTGGCTTTGGTCCTCTGCTTTGATTATCGCAAAAGCAGGGATACAATAAATCTCAGTGACTTACACTCTTCAAAGGGGCACAAATACATATGGTATGCGTTGCCTGGATATGCCATTGGTCTGGTTACTGCTTTGGCAGCTGGTGTCTTGACCCACTCACCTCAACCTGCACTCCTCTATCTGGTAATTATGTTTTACAATTTTTTATCATCAGATAAGTGTTATTGTCAACTCTACTTCCCAATACTGATTAACAATTCATTCTATAGCTTTTGTTAGTAGTCTCAATTATCATATTTTGTGTATTACTTTGAGAAAAGTTTAGTTTATAGAACAGGTTAATGAAGGTAGTCACAATTATTTCTTAATCTATATAACTTTTAACTATTTACTTCTCTTTCTCACTATCTATTCATGCTGAAATTCTGCATTATAGTCTAGTACATTATTTTGTAGGAATAAACAAGTCTACATTTACTATTTTTGTTGTATGAGGACTGGAGAGATTCATTCATCAATTCATTGTCGATATGAATCTGATTCTTCCCTTCTCTTTCAATAGTGGCATATATTGCTATGATGTTGAGGCCTTGTGCAAACTCCTGATCCTCTTGTGAAGTGTTTGTCAAACTTGCGTTGGATTGGAGCAATAAATTGAAATTGTTGAACATTTTTTACTAACAGATTCTGATTTAGTAGGGAGAGGTTCTTTGATATATGTGTATTGGCTGACTGTAGAGAGTCTGTACTCTGCTGAAGCACTGCCATTTGATACATGCAATTTGTTTGTCAAAATCTGTTTACCTGGAGTCTTGGACCCAAATCAGATATATTGTCAAAACAATTGTCCCCAGTGCATAAACTACATATTAAATTACATACTCATATTTATCTATACCCAAATGTCTAGTTATTTGTTTGGTTACACAATTGAGTCTCATGATTGTCAACGGAGCTGTGTCTTCAAGAGCCAAAAATATTTTTCATTTACTTGTTCACCTTATGCAATATCCTGTATTAATAATAATAGGGAAATGCTAACCAGTGCCCTCAGGGCACTTTTTAAAACTTTAAATAGTAAGTTTTTATAAAAGTATGTGACAATGATGTGTAATAATGTGCATTGGAAATTGAAGTGTTTGAATTTTTTAAAGAATAATTTCTTAATATGGAATGTTTAAATAGTGTCCTGAGGGTACTGGTTAGCAAGACCCATAATAATAATATATATGGAGGAACTCCCATTTTGCATCCTATAATAAGTTTGTATATGTAAGTAAGTATAAAATTGTAATTTTGCAAATCATTATACAGGTAGCTTTGGAAATTTTAATTTGTAGTATGGGGGCTCCAAAACCCAACTGTTTGGTTTCTCCCTTAACAAAGTTCTTTGTCTTTGTCTGTGCAGGTGCCTTCTACTTTGGGACCTGTAGTTGTGATCTCTTGGATGAAGAATGATTTACTCGAGCTGTGGGAAGGAAACATTCCAAAACTAAATGATAAGAACCGCGGAGTAGAAGTTTAGCATGTTAACTGGTAGTTTATAGCCAAAAAGAAAGTTGTAAATTCACTGAGAATCTTAACTGATGCGACTCACCTTGAAAATTGACGATAAAATGTTCAATTTGTTATATCTTGATGATTTTATTGCTACACCCTAAAATAAAAGGAAATAAGTTACACCATTGCCTTGGAAAATAGGAAATTTAAGCCTTACTGTTCAAATGAATTATTTGGTTAATATGATTTTTCGTCCCGTAACTATTGAGCGGTGTTCATATTGGTTTAATATCCTTGTGAGTCATTTTCATTAATACTTTTAAATTTTTTTTAACGTTTTGTTCTAGTCGGTAGGATGTGGCACCACGGAAGACCGCAAGTTATAAATCTAGACATCTGTTTTTGAAAGCCCTAGAATTATATTTTGTGAGTCTTCTTCTGACTTAATAATTAATTAGGGTTTATAGTATTTCTTCTTCAACCCTATCAAGGACATCTTATTCAACTTGACTTTACAAATTAGGGTTTGTTACACTTCTTTTGCAACTTTGCATTTGTTATTTCGAGAACGTAGAAAAAGAATGACATTTGCAAATTTGTCTATGTTTTCAAATGTTTCTAGTAATGATGATGAAGACATTAACATTTCCAAATTGAAGATTTATTCATCTTCGAAGAAGAAGCAACTGAGTCCTTATTGTTAGTGTGGAAATGACTGTACTTAGAAGGGTAACAACAATAAAAATTTTGAAAAGTAATTTTGGAGATGTTTAGATTATAAGATATGATTTCTCTTCTAATATTTTAATTTTAACTTGGAATTGTGTGTATTGTTTTCGTAAATTCACACGAGACTATTAAAAATGGATGTTGACTATTTTGCTTGATTATAATGAAGTGAAAGATGATAACGACATATTTATCATGAAGAAAAAAATAGGTTGGAAATTTTAGTTAAAGAAAATTAAATTCAATATCATAAATTAGTTTAATGTGAGGGAAGAATTGAAAGACAAAACGACAAAATTGATGCGCAAAAAACAAGAGTTAGAAAAACTCGAAGTAACTCTCAAGAACACAATGAAATGAAAGAATATTTGTGAAAAACTATGTTTTGTAGTTTAAAGTGTTTTAATGCACAATTTAATATTTTAGTCTACATTAATTTATGTGTGAGTTGATTCTGTAATGTAATTTTAGATGAATGAAATGAAATTCAAGTTTTAATTTTAGCTCTTGATACATGTGTATGGTATACTGTTTTTGTTTGAATATCAATTTGACATTAACTTGACAAGCTAAATATGTTTGTGGTTTTGATTTAAACATCAATTTGACAGACCAAATATATTTATGTTATACATCTGATTTGCTTTTAACGTCAATTTGACAAACCAATTTAACATATTTTTAGTTGAATTGGACGCATCATTCTTTTGTTGGATGCATTGTTATTGAATCAATAAATAATAATCATGAAACATTCTTATTCTTGTATCCATAAACAATAATCATTAAACATATAATGATAAAACATTAAACTTCATTATTTAATTAGCAAGTCCATCAAGGACAAAGTACCAATATAAAGTAGTAAAAGATAGCCTAATATATCAAAAAGGTAATCCAATACATCATAACATAGTTCTAAAAAACATCTAGCTTAACATTTGCAACAATTCTAAACCAAAACAAAGTTTCAAAATACATCTAACTTAACATCATAACTATCCTAAACCAAAACAGAGTTCCGAATAAAAATATAATTTATCTTCTTGCTTGTTTAAGATGAACTGAGACATTCCTTATTGCACTTAACCTGGTTGTAGGGCCCGGAGATTCAACACTTCTAGTTGGTCTTCTTATGCTCAAGTTCTTGACAATAGTTCTTGATCTATTTGGTCCACTTTCCTTAATAGATCTTGGTCCACTTGCATTAACAAATCTTGATCTATTTGTCGGAATTGTCTGAGTTTTCTATGATTGACTAGGTTGAGGTTGAAATTGAGTTTCCTAGGATTGACTTAGCTAAGGTTGAGCTTGAGTTGCCTGTGATTGTGATTGATTTGGCTGAGGTTGATCTTAAGTTTTTTGAGTAGACTAATTCTGACTTGTCTAAGGTGGATCCTTACAAGTTGCCTTGTTATAACCCATTTTCTTGCACCTACTCTATTTAACATGCAATCATGTCCTTCTCATTTTGTGATAAGAGCCATTAATTTCTCCTTGCTCTAGATTTTATTTTTATTTTTTGGCCTACATAATATTTTTTTAAAGACAAGTGGCTGCACATTAGGGTAGTTTATCTTTTCTTATAAATTAGATCCATTAAAAAGATAAATAACATGTTTGTATACCTCCTGATATTTATTTATTTATTTGTTGTAAATATCAAGAATGTATTCCTCTATCCTTAAGCTCATGCTCTTCATGGAAGATATGACATGAACACATAGCAATGTTGTAAGCTTCTATTTCCTACATGCGCATCTATAGTCTTGCAACTTGACCAAAAATTTATCTCCAAAATTTTCAATGTGCCTAACTTTAAAAATAAGCTTATCTGACATTATGAAATATAAACAAAGTATACCAGTGAATAAATAGCACATAACTTAACAACAAATAAGTGAACACAAAGTACTATACCTAACAGATATGTGTTAGTGAATATATTACATCTTTCTAGTGTTAAGCAAGATAGCATTATCACTATAGTTTTCAAATCTTATTCTATTTGATATCCACCTTTCCATCTTGTATGTTCTGATTTATTATAACATAGTCATTATTGCCTTATATCTTGCTTCAATAATAACACTATTAAAGGCCTTTGGCATGTTATTCAACAAGCTATCATACTTGGTGTTTGTCATAAATTGTGATTTGCTCCAGAATCTAGGAGGTATTTTCTTCATATGCTTAAATACTTCTTCATTAACATTTTTCATTTCTTCCACCCCCTTTTACCAAGCTTGTGGATATGTTGACTTAACAACTTTCTACATAATCTCTTTCAATTTCTTTCCAGGAAACTTCTTCTTAAAGTTATTGTACAAATTATGTATATAAAACATTTGTTACACACCAGGTAAAAATCCCATTCATAGCTGGTAAAAGACCATACCAACAAATACAAACAAAGTCATTAACAAAACATCATAAATAAAAAACATAAAACTTACTTAAATAACATAGATATATCTTTTGGTGATATGATATGAATGCATATGTATGACATTAACTTCTACATCCAAGATCATCAATGAGTAGTTCGAAAAACCTGTACAAATGTTCTTTGTTTCACCTTCAACAACTGCAAAGGCTATTGATATCACTTGATCATTTGGATCTCTTCCCATGGATTCCAGTATTCACCTTCACATAGGCAACTTAAAAAACATCCACCAAATCTAGTGATAGGTTTACAAAGTTTGAAACTTTCTTTACATGCTTCATAACAAATGTATAATATCTGAAAATGAGGCTTCTTGTCGACTGCATCATTTGGACTAGGTTGAACATTCACATGAACTGTTGAACCAAGATTTGTTATAAGATTTTCATGATAGTAGTCATAAATGTTGTTGTACTGTTCTAAGAAGGAACCATCAACCATTCCTCTAGATGCATACCTAGCCCTAACTTCCTTGGTACTATTTACACCAACATTCCATTTCCTTTGAGATTTTTCCTTGATGTCCTTGATTTTTATTTTAGGATTATCTTTCAATGAGTCTTGAATTCTTTTACTTAACCATTTTGTAGTCATCATCTTCACATTGTAAGCCCCACTACATTTATCAACATCCATTACTTTCCTCAATTGCCCAAAATCTTCATGTGGTAATTTGGCATAATGGACATTCCACTCGCACCCTTCTTTATATATAACCCTAATCCTTTGTTTGTCATGTTTAGAAAATATAAGATCCCTTACTACATATTGTTAGACGATGGCACAGATCTAGAAGGGGGGGGGGGGGGGGGTTGAATAGATCCTAATTAAAAAATCAGTCGGCGCTACCAATTAAAAATTGGTTTTAAAAATATTTGATATGCGGAAGCGGCCGTGGAAAAATACCGTCTATAATGAAACATTATTAGAAGACTGGATATGTGTCTAGCCTTATGGAAATAATAATGAGCAAATATAATCATCACACTAGTCACACTATTAATTGATTAATATCACTAATTAGTAAGACTAGTTCCAATGCTACACAATGTCAACCAAAATATGTAAACGATACAAGTGAATTTTGGTGTAGGCAATTTATCAAACACTTGGCATGCGAGCATTCCAAGTGAGTTTTGCCTTGAGTAAGTGACTCTAGCTTCCTTGTACAATACACTATTGTACTAGATTTAAAAACAATGTTAATCACTTACTCAAACCAATGTTAACTTGATAAAATTGCTTATACTAAAATTACTCAATTATCAAGCAAAAATGAAAATGATGAAAAACAAAGGAGGAAAAGATTTGTTGAGGCAGTTTCCCAGTCGTCCTCGCTTCGGGGTACGTCTGCCCTCAATTCTAAAACTAGAATTGAGCTCGATATAATATAGATATCACATGTTGAGTTGTAACGTTTATACAAGGATAGACAAGCAAAATATACAAACAAAATCTCTGGTTGTTGATGATGCTTTCTCTCCTTGTTCCTTGATTCAATTTGAATCAAGTCCTCCGATTGTTGTGAATAGACCTCCGATTACAACCCCTTTGTTGAATAACCTTGCGTTCTTCAACCCCCGACCCGACTGATCTCAAACACCAACAAATCGAACCCAAATCTCTCATACATAATTCACCGATTGCCGCTACTAGATTGACCGAACCCACTGTTCCTCAATCACCTTCACTCAGCTGAATGTTGTAGAGACGATTCATACCAAAAACCCCCAAATTCGACGAATCTTGGAGGGCAAAACCTTCAAGGATTTATTCAAGAAAAACCTGCCCCAAACTCAACCCGAACCGGATTCCCTAATCAACGGCTTCAGACGTTATCACCTTGA